GCTGAAATAGGGGTAGCAAGGTTTTTGTTATGGTGCAAGAACATGCACATGAAAACATGTGCAACAGAAACTTTACAGATATTGAATCTATGGTATTGATAACTTACTCGCCTTGTAAAACAGTAAATCCCCAATATATTGTCTAACTTTCTCAACTTATAAAACAGTGCATCCCCAATATATTGTCTAACTTTCTCACCTTGTGAAACCGTAAATTCCCATGTATTGTCTATCTTTCTCAACTTATAAAAAAGTAAATCCCCAATATATTGTCTATCTTTCTCACCTTTTAAAACAGTAAATCCCAAATGTAATGGACTTTCTTACCTCATACATATTCAACAAAAAGCCTCTCTTAGCCCTCATTCAGTCTCAATGAAATTTACATTATATTATCTAAAACAAAACAATATATATGAAAGGATCTTTGGTAAATCTGACTATGTCCTGATTTTCTCTCAGTACTCCAGTTCCTTACACATTGCTGTTTGGATCCAGCAATATGTCCAGAGAACCAAGCTATAACCTCTGTCTCAAAGTAAGGTAGTCTGGGGCTTGTTACAGGTTAATCCCAAACAATTTGTTGGCATTACATTAGATGTTAGACTTTACAGCAGCTATGGGCTTATTACTAGATAAATACCCCATATTAATTCTATCAGGTAGAATACTGGAAAGGTACTGGATACTTGTTTTGGCATGCTAAAATTTTGGTAATCTGCAAATTTCAATTGTTTGGCAAATTGGTGAATTCATGAATTAAAAAAGTGAGAGAAAAATAAGTAAATAACACATTGGCCATCAGAGATGGGTTCTGCTCCCCAAAAAGAACAAAATTTAAGTATGAAAAATAACAAAGGGCAATATGAGAGTTATGATTCTTGATCACTGCCCTCATTCTCACTGAGATCTACCTACCTAGGAAGTTTTATGTTGATACCTCGTATAGTTTTAGTGTAATGCCATGGACACAATTTAAGCATGATAAATAACAAAGGGCAATAACTCCTAAATTATGTAAAATAGAGTGATGGTTCTGGTGCACTGCAATTCTCCTTGTTGAGATCTATCTACCTACAAAGTTTTATGTTGATACCTCTTGTAGTTTTTGCGTTATGCTTCGGACACAATTATGACAAACAGACAAAGCGACAACTATATGTTCTTCCTTTGGAGAGCTTAATACAAATAAAAAAAATAAAGAAATAAAAATGTAATTGAATAAAATGAATATACATATATCTGCAGTTAATCCTCTCTCAGTTACAAGAACATGAACATGAAACACTTACTATGTTACACAGGTTTTTGCTTAAATCTGTTTCTTTACAAAATGTTAAAACTTGTTACTTCCATGATTGTTATAAAATGTTTGATACAGTACAACCTCGATATCATTTAGCACCAAAGTTCTCCATCCTTCCCAGTTTCCATTTTTCTGTGCTTTTCATTATTTACACTATATCTCATGTTTACCCTATATCTGCTGCATAGATAGGATCTAATTTTTGAAAAAAGTGAAACTTACAACTGAGTAAAAATTGATCATTTGATATTCTAAAATAAAATAATGATAAGACAATGTTTATATACATAACTAGAAATGTGTATTTCTGAATATATTTGAAAATTTAACGTACAAAAAAAAAAAAAAAGAAAAAAAAAACCAAATAAATAAATAAGATAAAAATAAAGAATTTACAAAAGTCTCTATCTTCTTTATTTTTCTGTTAGAATAACTTTGCTAGCACTCCTTAATACTGGTACTTCTCTAGTAGTATTTCACACTTATTATGTAAGAAGTAACCTCATGGTTTTAAATACATGAAGATGTAACAATGAAATGGTAGCATTTATAATCCTTATTGCGACAAAGTACTAGCATACATCCCCAATTGTGATAAGGTAGCCTGCACGATCCGTAATTATGATAAGATGTACAAAGATTTTATTCCAACAAAGGAGGATTTTACAATCCTTTAACAGTCAGCAGCTCTGAGTGAAAAATACATCCTTAATTATGATAAGGTAGTATACATCCTTATTTATCTATGGTAAGGTACGGGGCAGATTGATAAGTTGTGAGCCGTGTATTGAAGTTAAGCAGGGATGTCCTTTTTCAGCTCTACTATTCCCTGACTATTTAACGCTGTGTACCAAATACTGGTGTCATTTGGTCAGTTTATGTCTAAGAGGTAGCACTCTAAAGTAAAGAAAGCAAGTGACTTTTGCAAAACGGACAAAATCGCTGAAAGAGCAGTGATTCAATATTTGCATCAGAAAGATTTAGCACCTAACGATATCCAAACTGATATGGTGGCAGCACTAGAAATGATGCCCCTTCATATGCTACTTTGAAAAGGTGGGTGGTAGAATTTAAGCATGGCAGGCAGAGCCTTAGGGATGACGCCCATCCTGGAAGGCCTGTCACTGTTACAGAAATGGTCAATAAAATCCATGATATTGTTATGGTTGACTGGTGACTTATAGAGAGAAATGTAGCCAATACAGTTGAGATTACACAGGAAAGAGTACATTCCATTCTTATGGAAAATCTCAGTTCTCAGTCCGTTAGGTACCATGACATCTGACAGTTGATCACAAGCACACCAGGTGGACTTTGTTGTGCCTAATGTGAAACTTTAGAAGCAACCCCTGCTTAATTTCTGCAGAGGTTTGTGACTTTGGATGAAATGTGCGTCCATCACTTCACCCTTGGGTGCAAAAAGCGAAAGTGATTGTAACCCCTGGACTATCGAGGATGATATTATTTATCATCAAGAGTAGAATATCTGACGCATTCTACCTTTAAATAAAAACTGATAACAGTCAAATATAACTAAATTCATGTGTGTAACAAACCAGTATTAATATTACTGCCTTATAAACAACATTAAATAATACCAATATCAAAGTATTTAAAAATCAAAGAGCTAAAAGGAAATGCTTTTGAAAGTAATATCAAAATGTCTAAAGGCACATTTTAAGTAAATATTTAGAATATTAACTCATTGACAAGGAAAGATGAAACTCTCAGCTGACTACGGTATAGAAAAAACATCTTCATGGTCACAATAAAACATCGGTCATCAGATCTACCACTAATTCTTTAAACACTGCCATTGCAAGTAAGGAAAGAAAACTACAGTCAAAGCAAGTTACTTTCACAAATAAACGTTTGTGACTGAAATACATAAACAAGTTAGGTGCTTGAGTATCCAGTTGGGATTGGCAAATTTACATTTCACTGTAACTGTCCCATTTTGGTTGCCTACTGAGTTTGAATTATACTGAAGAATGAGTTGTGAAAAAAATTGTAACTATATAGAATTTCCAATGAAAGCTTTCCCTTTAAATCTTAATTCTAACTGTGGGCTCAGATTTCTCTCTGCATCATAAAGAGACAAATTATTTAATTTTTCTTGCACTTTCCCTATCATTTAAAACTGCAAGATTCAATAGTAAACATCACAAAAACACATAAATATACAGTAAAATAAAATCATTGAAAGTGAAGATTTCAGAACAAACCATGTGTTGACCATCATTCTTGAAGTAGGTGGGAATAGAAGCTACCTGTGAAATGTGAGAGAAAACTTGTCCTATTTACCCTGGAACTTCCCATTCTGGAGACTTTTTGCAAAGTTCCTTAAAAGCTATGACCATTGTTATGTAAACATTAAAATGCTATCATTAATAGTTTTAGACATCCACCTGTGGTGTGTAGCTAGAAATAATACTTCCTTACACAGATCAATCATGGCTGAATGAAAAACTCTTGTATGTGCACACTCTTAAAGTAAAAAATATACAAATTATCCTCAGTCATAATCTGCAAATTTGTTTTTCTGTTTATCACATGGGTACAAGGAGTTTAATGTGTCATTACAACTGGAAAGTCTACTTCTAGACAAAATATTTTTGACAAAAAAGTGGACGTATTCGTAATCGTAAGTCACACTACACAAACTATAAATAACAAACTATGAATGACACAGAAACAATGTTCAGCAAAAATATGGTAGGAAAATGGCCCCCAATATTGGGCATATTGACCAGGGAGCATGATGGCATGGACTAATTCTATTTAATTATGTATACTTTAAAGCTCCGGTGAATAAAATCAGACCCTCATTTCCTCATCGGAACCATTTAAAATCTACAGACAAATTCAATAAAAGATATGGTTTGAAGACTTTAATTTAAACGTTTGTGATCCCTTGAATTAAAGGCACACTTTTATCTTTAATGAAATCCTCTACAATAATGATTTTAAGAAATTTTATAAAAGTTCAAAACAAAGCAGTAACTTTCATAGGACATGTCTTTTTTCTGTCTAACTATTTGACCTACAGAAACATCATTAATTTTCATGGGGGATTTATTTTTGTTGATTTCTTAATTACTCTTTATCCATAAATTTATATGTCCACGAACTGTCGAAATTAGAATTTTTTAGCTTAATTTTTCAATAAAATTAAGTGTAAATGAATCAATAATTTTTTGAAAAAACCTGAAAATTGAACCCCATGAAAATACATAATTTTACATTCAGAATCAACTTTAATTCCATAATTGCACCCTTGACCTTCAAGAAAAATATCAACTTTTTCCTACAGGAAGAATCATCAAGGCAGTTTCTATGACCTTGAAGAAGTGATTATATGAAGTATATATAAGTTAGACCATTAGTAGTCTTAATGGAATTTGGATCTTCATAATTACATACCTTATATGTAATGGTTTCAATAACATTTTTAGCAGTGTTCATCAAAACAGGACTTCAATTTTTCCATGAAATCAGCCGTAGATTCATGCCACAGAAATGAATTTTTTCCCAAAGCCCAAAAAACTTGATTGTAAAGATGACTACAGAATTAAAAATAATCTGACTATAAATAATGAATACACATTCATGTAGATAAAGAATTTTGACATAAAAATTGATTCACAAGTATCATAAATGGTCATATAATCACATCATTTCATTCATGCTTGCAATTATAGAAAGACCAAAGATATAATCATTGAAGAGTTTTCCAACTATGAACACTATCGTAAATTATAGAATCCAAGCTCAAGATGGCATTTCTAAAAGACATTGAAAATGCTTGATCAGATTTTGTAGGCCAAACAAATAATTACTGTCTTCTTCTTGTGAAGGAAACACATGTGTGAAGTCTATCATCCGTATTTCAACAAGAGGGCGCTCACAGGCACCATTTAGTTTAGCAGAAATTCTGCCATCGACATCTCCATTTCCTATATGCAAGGAGTCTATAGATTTGTTGGTATCCTCATCTCCATTTTCCATCAGTGGAGAGTTGGACCTTAATGTGTTTTCCCTATTTTTCTTTGTCTGGTCACTATTGACCACGGTTGAACAGTCTGGTTTATGTTTAACATCCCCTTCATACACAATCAATATTGAGCTTGCATAAAATGCATACATTCTTTGCTCTAAAAACCAACTTTCCAGTTCCTTTAGTTTGTCCACCACAACCTTTATCACATCCTTTCTCAAACCGTTGTCAATCAAGAAGAATTTTCCTAACCCTGAAAATAAATCAAATATAATCCTAAAAACACTTCTTCAAAAAGGAATTAAGGAAAAGATTTACAACATCATTCAAAGAAATGTCACATCTCAAACAAAGTTTAACCCTGAGAAAGTAGTAGGAAAAAAGTCCTACTTTTCCTATGAAGAATTATCCTCATTAAGTACAAGATCTTTGTCTCTATGTCCCTGTCTGTTTGAATATGCTTTTTCCTATCTACCTGTCCACTATTGAAAATTTACCAATATCAACTTCCCTCCCTCAGTCTGAACAGCTTCCCTTGTCATAAATTTCCTCCCTACAAGAGCTACTCTCACTGTCTCAAAAGACTGTGTGAATGCAAGTTCCTCTCTGATGGTCTTTTCCTGTCCTAACATCTTTAGCTGTGTAATCAAATGTCCCTCTTTGATAATCTCTTCCTGTCTGATCACTCTCCCAAATCTAACAACCATTTCAAGTCTTAATGTCAATACCTCTCTGAATTCCTGTCCGAATATATCTCCCTACCTAACACATCTTTTTTCAGAATTCATTCCCTCTCTGAACATCATTCTTTTTCCAAACATCTCTTTCATTATGAATATCTGTTTCTCTCCTTTATACATTCTTTCATGTCTAAAAATAATCTCTCGTCAAATATCTTTTATTATCAAATAAAACCTTGTCCTGTACAAATTTCTGTCTGTTTTTTGCTCACTTGTTCGACTTTCTTTCACCATTCATATACCAACTACTGTCTTATTTTCTTTCTCTGTACCATCAGATGTTCAGTTTGAAACCTATCTTGCACTACGGAGACATTGACCCTTTGACCCTGACACTTACCATGTGTAACCATGGTGTCCTCAAATAACCTTTTACAGTAGTATTTGTCATACTTCACAGTCTTATTTAATTCAGGGTCAAACACCTGTAAAAAAAAAAAGGACATATCAATGAAGCAATATCAATGTGTTAAATTCTTGTCCTTGACAATATCTATGGTTGTGAAGTTTTATTCAGGCGTCTGCAAAAATGGAGAAATGGGTCAGGCAAGAATCTTGGCTTAAACAGAAGGCACTCTCAAATCTATTGGTACTAATTCTTTTCTGACATAAAGGATTAAGAATTTTGTGAAGTATCCAAACCTATGGCTGAGTGACCTACCTGCATGCCAGAAAGTTGGTAGCCTAGTTTGAGAACAGGAGGGAATTTGGCCACTTCTAGAGCAATTTTTTCAGGAGGTGCCTCTGGATCGTAGGTTCGTTTGCCCATCTTGATATCAATGACACTGGGTTTACTGAGGTGATGCATTAGGTTCTCTAACTTCAAGTAACTCACTAGAAAACACAACATCACATGCTTAGAAATTATAACACAAGAGTTGCAATGATGTACAATGTGAAACGTATGAAGTTCCTTGCAGATTCAAACAAATAAATGGACCGACTTTTTCCCATAGCACAATCATGAGGTTGTATTTATCATACAATAACAAAGCCCCCAAACTTTTATAAGTTTGTCCAGTAAAAATTTGAAAAGATACAAAATGTGCTAATGCACTTTCTGCCTTCTTAAAGTATAATATATGCTTATGTTTATGTATAAGTCAAGGCCCTCAAAATCAGGGTTTTTATCTTTGTTTTCTCCCTTAGTTAAAATTAAAAAATCACAGTTGACCTCTGGGATCAAATTTATTATAGGAGATATCTGTATCTTTTATACTTTATACTTATAGTTTCTCTTTTTCGTTTCATCAATGCCTATAGAGTTTTTCTTACTTGCAAAGATTCATCATTTTTTAATTTATTTCAAAAATCCTTTTTAAACTTCAACACAGTTTGTAAAAAAGTAATTAATAAATGTGTTTTTCAGAGATATAGAGCTCAGTTTGAATGCATGTAATTTCCCCTATGGAAGATTAATTTGAAAAGTAGGCTGATAAGATATCTTTATATATATTGTAGTGTCCTTGCTATATGCTCCACCCATGTGATTAATTGGGAAAGATTTAATGACTAACAGAAAGAAGCATGAAATATAAACACAGAGGTGACACTCCTGTCATATCCTGGAGCTTGAGTCTATGCCTGCCATAGTACACTTCAAAGAAAGGATGTAACGCCCTAAGGACCAGTTACATGTCGTGCAGGAATGCTTTCTACACCACCCAAGACCACTTTAAAACAAAGTCAGAGAACTGGATCTTATTGTGATATGGCTAAAATGTCCCTTATTGATTAACATACTTGTCTTGATCAATAACTATTAAAGTGTACATATATAATGGATAGTTGAACGATATCAATCTCCAACGTATATATTCCTGAAATTATAGCCACCATACCAAAATAAAACTCTGAAATAATCTTATAACCACAGGTAGACATAGAATCTTATTACACATACATGTCTTCTACAAAAACCTGACTCCACTTTTTTCAGTGATATGATGGACACTGGCAAAATATTGCTCTATATCTACATTATGGCAGTGACCTGATCTATATTCATTATCCATTGGTTGTATGTGTAAGGTATGTTCATACATGTAAATATACTGATGTTTGGTTAAACTGCTAGCACAAAGGAGTTCTTAATACTATAGGTAAACAAGACGTTCTGAACACAATCTATGACTTTTTTCCTGATCCATGGTGGTCTGTAAATATATTCTTCTGATATCTCAGTTTTATCTGTATTATTTGTATTTGTAGGGAGGAAAGGTTTGGATGATTTTTTGAGTCCTTTGATAATAATATAACATTTCTACTGAACCTCTGAAACCTTTAAGCATATAATAGTACAACTTTCTCCATCTGATCATTAGTGTTTCTTAATAGCAGAAAAGAAATAAAAGGAATTCAAAATAATACTGTATTGGCATATTATGGTGTCCCTAACAAGATTTCAATTTCAAATATAAAAGAGATACCAGGCTCAACATTTACATACTCCATAAAGAGAATGACATGTATACACAATGCTATGGTGATGCTTAGACATAAAAACTACATTTGATTTACCTAATTCTTTTAGTTTCCATCTAAGGATGTAATTGCTCTAGCTTATAATCTTGCCTTGAAGCCAAAGCCAAAATCAAACTGAACAAATGAAGTTCATCAATTAACACACTAAGGTTTAAACAGTACAGTTAAAGATAACTTAATTTAAATTAGGATTATCTCCAATATTTCCTAAAACTATGACAATTTTAACTAGCCTGACCAGCACCATATTTATCCTACAAAAAACCCTAGGGGCCAACTCATAAGCTCTGATCCAAAGCTGCTCAGAAAAAGGCTTATTTAAGGTAAATTTACAGCATCTGTTGGCCTTTTCCCTAATATTGAGAAATATATTGCCAAATAAGTATGGTAAATAATTAAAAACTTATGAATTTTGCTCAGCAGATGAGTAAACCAAGAGGCCCATAGGACATGTATAGCTTACATGGTGGAGTCAAAATTGCTTTAAGCAAACTGGATTTTGGAGGTTAACATCCATTGAACATAACCTACCATTTGGGTTGTCAGTACATTGTACTATGCCAGAGAATTTGGGGATAAATTGTCGTAGATTAAAAAGAGTTTTGTTGGAGCAGTTCTCGTCAAAGGCGGTAGTATAAAAGTCCATCTCTCTCTGACCACGAGGTGGGCCCTGGACAGGCTTAAGAACTGTGCCATCCTCATGTTGTAGGCAACCTATGACAACAAGTAACATGTTATCACTTTTGTAAGGTAAGGGTCCAAAAGTAATTGTTTAAGCCAAGTACTTCCATAAATCTCAAAATTAAACAAATTTTGACTGTAAATTGTATGATTTCCTCTTAATGTTATCTATTAATCACACCAGCCATCAGACTCAACAAATATTCATTAGATATTTCAATTGTTTTATGGAGAAGAAAATACATATAAATCAATTTATTATTAGCATTATGACTCTTTAAGAAAAGTGATGTAAAAATTAAGATAGGATATTCCTTTAAAACAAAGCAGTTTCATGATTTCCTCACGACATTGAAACACGGTTCAATGGTTTTGATCTTCTTTATAAATAATAAACCATGTGAAAGAAAATTAAGTGCTATTCTTTTTAAATACCAAGCAGTATAGATTAACAAGGCACTACTTTCTACGTAGGTTGTATACAATCGATCAGTCGTGTGACCCAAATAACTTCACAGTGTGAACACCGGCAGAAAACCAAGTATTATTCACATTTATGGATTTATTTTATAGATTGTGGTATCAAACTCGTAAATACAAACCTTCGGCTGTAAGTCATTACTGATCATGTTGGAACAATCAATAACAGGACAAAACTACACACTTTTCAACAAATAACCAATAAACAAACACAATGTAGCTCAATGTCAGTGTAACAATGTAGTCACAGAAATACCTCTCAAAACAGATCGTTCTAATGGACAATTATATTCTCCTTATTTGCTTTTACAAAGCATTTATATGTAACTGTGGTTTATAATTCATTTTTAGTAACAAAACTTATAAACTATGAATATTATTAACTATGTTTAAGTAAAAGTTAGAAATCAAATTTTGCTTTTCTGATTGCTTTCAAAACAAAAATGGTGTTACAGACTATTTGCCTGCAGATGACCGACTAACCTAGCTGTGCAAATTAGCCATCTTTGAGAATGTTCTTAAATAGTTAAGCATGCTCATGACCATTCTCAAATTGTGGGTCAATTCTCAACTTAAAATTAAGAATGGGGCACTTGAGAATCTTTGAGATACACACATTTTGAGAAATACTTAAAGTTAAGTACATTCTCAAAGATAAGAACTGAGAATGGTTTAAGATTCTTCGAGATACTCTTTTTTGAGAATATGCTCAAAGTTAAGCACATTCTCAAAATTAAGCATTGAGAACGGATTAAGTAAGTTTCGAGATCCTGGGCCCAGGTGATCTTCCAGTAGCAGAAACATTTTATTTTGTAATATACAATGAAAGAGGCTTCAGCTAATCTTTGTTTTAAACCAGACCAAAGATGAGCAGAGTGAGTTAATGAAATGAAAAGATTTTTTGCATGAATTGGTTATGATTTAGAGATACCTATTAACTGTCGAGTCAGATATTATCATTTTTCATTTGACTCATGATAATCAGTGTATATTATGAGAGTACAAAGAAAACATCCAGAAACATCATAAATATGTTACTCTTACTGCCTGAGAGACAATTAATGGTGATCACAAGCAGTTATCACCTACAACATAATAAAGCCATTAAACTTATCAGATATGCCAAATCTGTATTTTCCAGAATATGCTTGCAAACAATCTTGATAATCTAAGTATATTTCTGTGGAAAACTTCAACAGTAGTTTCAAGACATGAAGGGCAGATCAAAGTTGAACGTTGCTAATTATAGACCACAGTTTGTCTACCTTTTATGTTATTAATGTTAGAAAAACACTGTTATTTGTTTTCATGCCTCATATATGATCATAATATACCAATTTTCTCTCAATCAGAGCTTTGTAAAAATCATTCATGCGAGAGAATACTTTTCTCAATATTGTAACTTATCGGGCAAAAGAAATTGACAACGGACCAATATATATCCATTGCCACAAAGCACAGGAAGAGGTATAAATGTGAACTAAAATCACATTGTGTGACAGATAACCAATAAAGTTTAAAGCCCATAATAAGGAGCAAAACTTGCAGAGAATTCATGTAATATCACTAAATAAGGATAGGTGCATCTTCATTTAATGAACAACCTCCAAAGCTGTATATCATTTAAATAAATGTCTTTAATTCTGTTATAACTTAAGGTATTTTATTCTACAGAAATAACATCAATAACTTACTGTCTTCTTTACACTGGTTAGAAATGGCAAATCAAAAATCATGTCTCATTATTATACCTCTGTTTGACGACATTCTAGAGTACTTTAATAACGGAAGACAAATTATACCTGATTACTTACTTCAATTGAGGGCTTTGAACCAATGTCTGTAGATGAGACTATAGCAGATATGGAACCATTCAATCATTGATGTCTACATAATTGAAAATTGCATGCACAAGTTTAGCATACATGATTACTTGTCTTCCTGCACTGTTCTGGCTATATATCCGCATGGACAAAGCAGTGAAAAATGTGTACGTTTTTATATCAATAATCATTCCAATTATGGTAATGGTCCAGTTATAGATGTCTATAATACTGGGTGATAATACATTCTTTAATTTGGAAATCATTTGATTAAATAGCATGATATAGGTAAGATATATGTCAACATTCCAGACAACAGTGCCTTTATTCTCCAAAGCTAAGACTCACTCTTGGATTGACATTTTTTTCATGTTTGACAAATTCAAAATAATTCATCAAGTAAACATACTGTAAACTAAATCATGAACCATGTTAGTCGGGTGGCCCAGTAAAATTTAGATATTTGGGTTTTAAGTCCCGCTGCAGAGAGGAGACAAGAATATGTGTTACCTGACCTGGGTACTCCGGTTTCCTCCCACTACAAGATCTATCAAGCCATGAGTTTTCATCAGAGTCAACAAAAGTGATATCAGTTGTAATGATTTGCTTCACAGTTGTTATGAAATAAAGTTAATTAGGTCTGTTTGTTTGCATTTTTTTTTCAAATCCTGAAACCTCAAATAAATAACACAAAAACTTTATTTTCATGTTAACATGAAACTCTAGAAGATTGTGCTCAGGGTACTTCATTACTGTTGATGAAAAACGGTTGTGTAAGACTGCTTAGTATCAAAGGTTTACGTTGTGGGTGTGTACTATCTGCTATCATCGTATTGCGGTTTGAACCTTATGAGGGCACACAGATCTGTTCTGTCTTTGAGTCATAATGACAACTTATTGTCTCTAAGTGTCAAAATGAATTCAACCGAACATCAAATTGTCTTACTTATCTATTATTACAAAGAACAGTTCGTGTATTCAACTTTGTTAGCTTAATTACAAATTAACTTCAATTAATGAAAGATTTTTTTAACTAAAGAGTTTGAAAACCATTCAAGCCTTAAAAGGAAGTAGAATTTCAAAGCAAAATACCCTTCAGGTCAGATGACCTAAAAAAAACATTTAAATTGTATATCAACCTGGTCTCTATTTAAAGTTCTAAAAAAACCTTAACTGACAGAGTGATATAAATTCTAAATCAATGTTTTTGTTTGTAATCTAATCATCAAATTTGAAAAATTTGAAAGAAAAAGGAAAAAAACTAAATTTGAATAACAAATGATTTTTAATGACCACTTCAAAACATTTTTCATAGAATATCTGAGTGAGTGAGTAAATTTTACATATCAAACTAAATTGAAAAATTTGTCCATATGTTTTCTAAGCTGACAAAGTTTATTATAAACTGACCTAAATAGTTAATTGTAACCTAATAATATGACAAACTACAGTACATTACACATTCTTAATTAGATATCATATTATAATTATTAACAATTTAAATCAAAACCTTTACAAACTGAGTTCATTGATGGTATATGATTTCCTACTTAAGGTTAATAGGCTACACTACATTTGGTCTATAATCACGATTTATCTGTATAGACATTTCTATGTATACCTTTTCAGGTATTCTTGTTTAGCTCAATATTCATGTGAAATTCAAAGTAATTATAAATTAAAAGGAAAGGTTAAACATGCATAATATGGAAATAAAACAGCATGTTTTGGGTACAATAGTTGACAAATTAAAATTCTTCAGATTTCCTCAATATACTATACAACAAGCATGGCATATTAATTGTAACACAGTGGCGTAACAACACATACCTGTTGGTAATAGTCACGTTTATTTAGATGTTAAATAATAGTCATGTACAAAGGCAACATCTCATCAACATACATATATATTCACTCCACTTCCCATTATGCCTCAAAAAACAGTCTCTGTATCAAAACTGTCCTTGTATAAAAACAGTACTTCTAGGTATATACTAGCATACCACTCCTTATACTATCCATCATGGTATAACCTGTCTGTGAGCTGGTCTGGTGGGCTATCTAGGGCCCATCTATTGGGGTGTCCCAATCCCTTCGCTAAGCCATCTATGAACAGTATAAATTAATGTTCTATGGCACTTATATATGACCTTCTGACCTTACCTAGTTTTGTCTTCCCTTCCCCATATTTGTGTCCTGCCACCTGATTGGCTAATGGTTTGGTCCCAAGGGGCAATGGTGGTATTGCCAAAGACGCTGACATTCTTGATGATTTATCTGTAAAAGAAATACTAGATTTATTAAGAGAAACAGCAACGACTAAGAATGATTTAGTCATTCTTTTGTAAAACTCTGATCACCTTAATGAAGGTATATGGCAATGGTGTTACTGGTGTGTTATTCGCCTTTCATCTTGGCGACCAGAGTGAATTTCTTTATTGAACATTAAAAAATATCACAGAATCGCCTCCCAGACAATGAGTTACAATTTTTGTGTCATGATTTTAAGTATATGGATAGAGTGTAAATATTTCAAACATCATACCAGTAAAATACTGATGATATTGATTACATAAATTACTTGCAATTCATAATTGAATTTTTCCAGTCTGGTTTCTATTTGTTCACAGACGAGTCAAGATATCATTTAAGATTTCATATAACCATTTCAATTATAATATATCTAAACATCATAGATGTTAATGAAGTTTGTGGATGTCTTACTCCTGGTTCTAAACACTAGACGCGAGATATGCTTATTTATATCATGATTAAATGAGGACAGCATACACATGGTAATAGCATGGTCTGATCTCACCGTTGATGGAACAACCACTTTTTCCATATGAACTGTAGGGTTCAACAATGCGAGTCTCTTAATGTCCTTGTTTATATTTCAATTATCAAAAATTCTTTATTCTCTATTTGAACATTATCACTGATTGCCATTTTGAAGATTTTTGCTCACAAAATTTGTATTAAAGCATGATGTCATCAGACATTAGTTCCTCTGTAGATACCACAATAGAAAAATTGACACTGATTTCTTCAACCTCACTCACTAATCAATCATAGTCCTGCATGTTAACACTGAGGTCTCATCTCAGAAAATACTCATATAATTGGAATGGGACATTTTGAAATTGAAAATAACATGTACCGGTACAAAGTTCTGGTACAATGTTAGTACTTATATCATAACAGAACTATACACACCCTGCATGCTCTTAGAATTTAAAAGAGTATTCATACTTATCAGTTTACCATTTTTAAATTAGCTAGGATTAGATTTTATCCTGAAGTTAAACACAGTCCTGTACTAACAGGATCTTCTCATACCTTAGTGTATGTTATATGATAATCCTCTCAAATATTTGCTGTTCTATTTGTGTTTTTCACACAATCCCAGTACTTTTAAAACCACCACCTACTTTTGCTCTGATCAGTGTGGATTGAATACTAAATCACAACTCAATGACAATTTTTAACTGTAGACATTAGTGAAATTTGAAATTTAAGTTTTTAAATTTAGAACGACCATTATTGGACAAGTTACCATTTTAATATGAAGTCATTAAGAAAACTCCAAATAGTCATCAAGACAATTCTTGACATTTATTTTTAAAAGATTCAAAATTTGCCTTGAATCGGTTAATTTGATCCAAAACAATTTAGCAAATCACAGTCCCCCACCGAATGTGAAATAATTTGCACAACAACCATTTTCTTTGATATCAGTCAAATATAAAAAAAATGAAGGAGTGACCTACATTTGATACACAACACATTGCCTGACCAAGGTGAACCCTTAGTCCAAGTATAAAATTCTAGAAACATAAGTAGTGTAGGAGATTGAGCTCAAACCTTTTCAAAGGTCAAAATGTATTTCAAAGTGATCTTAGAGTTCCTGCAGTGACTAGTACAGTACATATATTGAAGGAGAGGGAGCCTGGACAGACTTTTTCTCTGATGTAGGTAAAAGTGACCTACTTTTTTATCATGACACAATGTCTCGAGAAAGTTCATCCATCCCAAACATGAAGGGAGATACTAATCATGCTGACTGTACAATACATAAAATTACTTCCTACTGGAAGACAAAAACCTGCCTGAATATATTTTCTCAATATTGTTAATTTATAATATTTATGATACTAAATTTTGTCATGGTTGAGTTCCAAGAAGAAACATGGGTTTATACATACCACAGGAATGATACCTTTAACAACAGCTATCAAATTGTCCAAATGGAGACTTCAGAGAACAGGTGTGATGACATTTCCAAAACAACAAGTTAGTGACTAGATAAGTACGATGACTACTACACAGTTGTTTTGGATCAAATTCCCTGTATACGTTTTACCAGGGTACGTTCCTGATAAAGATTCAACAAATACTGACAGCACTGTGGATTATAAGCCATTATATGTTAAACTGTAAACATCTGACACTTGACCCATTACAGCAGGGTACCTTTACCTAAACAGACCTTTAAAAATATCCATCTGATTCATAAATTATTCACTAAGGTATGTCTAGTTTAAGGATAGGTTACAGAAAACATTTTTCCCCTCTGATATGTACATGAAAATACATTGTGTAAATTATCTCAGTGATATGACAAGAGGTGAAAATGATGAGGTGAAAGATTTAAAACTCCAGTCAAACTATGTATACGCGTCTGGGTCATGTAAGACTTTGGGTTTAATTACCTGGACATGGTTTTATTGTATAGTATACTGCATGTTTTCAGTCCAAACTCAATTGTAAACACACATAAACGTTCTCTAAGAAATATCCTGTAAATTTATACCTCTATCATACCACTTACACCTGTCATAGTATTGACAGCACTTCTACTATTAAATAGTTGATAGTTCCAAAAAGAAAAAAAAAACATTTATCATTCTCTTTAAAACATACATTAACTTTGAACAAAATACATGTACTAATTAGTGCCTCAGTTTTTAAGGCTATATGTTAAAGGAAAATACATGTACTAACTTTTTAAGGCTAAATGTTTTATGAAAATACATGTACTAATTAGTGCCTCAGTTTTTAAGGCTAAATGTTTTATGAAAATATATATACTACTTAGTGTCTCAGTTATTAAGGCTACACGTTATAGGAAAATACATGTACTAATTAGTGTCTCAGTTTTTAAGGCTATATGTTATAGGAAAATATATATACTACTTAGTGTCTCAGTTATTAAGGCTACACGTTATAGGAAAATACATGTACTAATTAGTGCCTCAGTTTTTAAGACTATTCAGTTGTTAAATGTCCAAAACATTAGTTTTAAAGCTAACAATATAAGAGCCGCTTAATTACTATATAATATATAATGTATATTGTCCCTGTTAAAACAGAATCATTCTCTATACATTGTATTGTTCTGATGGGTCTATGGCCTAAAGTTTTGATTGAATTTTGATTCTTGAATCTGTTTTGAATTCTATTTATGAATGTAATGTAAAATTATTGAATTTACAGGTTCTTCAGATGCTTTCATGAGTTTACCATAATGTGAAACTACCGAGTTCAAAGGGTTAGTGAGAATCTTACATGAGTTGTGTAAGAGTTCACGAGTTCATCTTAATGTAAAATTACCGAGTTCAAAGGTTCATGAATTGTTTTCATGAGTTTACTAAATTCAGGCAGATAGAGATAAACATGATATATCTAAGTTAAATTGTTGGATTAAGTGTACAAATAAACACTTCTCAATATCGTAAATACTTACACATATTGCATGCTGATAAAATCTTAAAGTAATGAAATATAGACCCTTTTCATATAGATATAATAGAACATTAGCTTTGCCGTTATCATATTCTACTCAAAATAGATTTCAACAAGGGTCGTCTTACTTATCATACATGTAGCTTTCAAATGAAAAATTTGAAACTGCCCATATCAGATAGTTTGATAAAGAAAATTCATATATCTTAAAGAGTATACATCATGACAGAAATAATTATCTTTTGATAATAAAAAAGTAAGAAAATACTCATGATGTTTTGAAGATATTATTCACTAAGTTCTATTCTCCCAACACATGTATTTCAAGCTGACTAGTAATAAACCAAAAAGACCTAGAATTTTACCTTAGAAGACACACCTATATTGTAAGTCTCAAAAGTGAAACCTATATATACACCTGGCTAGAGATCAACTGATTTTTGCTCTTAATGATAAGAAATTTGAACATTCCTTTGCAGAAAAAATGATGATAATCTTTCCCTGCCAAATTCGAAATGGTCACCTGGAAGTCTTTTAGTTTTTACTGATCAGTCCAAGAATCAAATGGAAACAAGCAGAGACCACAGGAAACATACCTATAAAATTTGAGAAATAGGGATAACAATCTTTACTCGGGGGAATCTAAAATGACTGCCTTTCAGTCATTTTGTTTCTCTGATTAGTCCCAAACTGAATCAGGCACAACTGGGGACAAAGAGAATCACATGAAATTCTAGAAATATCTAGGCAGTATTTCTCAAGAAGTAGTGATAACAAACTTTCAAAACCAAAGTCAAAGATGGCCACCTTTTGGCCACATTCTTACTCTGATCAATACCGAAATCAAATAGGCATAAGGAAGGATCAAGGGAAACCTACTCATGAAATCTGAGAAATACAAGAAATAGCGATAACAAACTTCTCTGAATAAATTCAAGATGACCACCTGTCATTATTTTATTTTTCTGTTCATACCCAAAATCAAATGAACACAACTAGAGACCAAGGTGAACATACATGAGAGAGATCCATCCAGTACTTTTTAAAAAATAGCGATAACAAAAATTGTTTAAGGACCATGGATGTAGGACAATTTGAATAAAACCACATTAACACTTTGAGTTGTACAATGAGAATATCAATGATCCCTATAGCTCGACCAAAAAGTAAGGATGAAACAGTTGTCTGACTGTAGCTCATGCTGCTTTATTGTTTTAAAATATATCAAACTAACACACAATTTGTTTATAAAGATGACTTAAAATGATTGAAGTCAGTAACAAATGTAAATCAATGCTAATATTAAGGGGGTTACTTCTGCAATTAATGTACTTTACAGATTTGATCTCAACATGTATGTTATATGTCACAAATTCATACACATGGGTGAAATTTTCATGGCTGAATGACTTTTGCACATTACATGTATATTTTCTTTATGTGCATTATCCAATCAATAAGAATTGAATGTTCTAATTCAGTATCTGTAACACACAATCAGTGATAACTGTTAACCAGATACTGAGTAAAGA